TTGCAAAGGCTTACGGGATAAAATCCATTAACAGTTTGTCCTGGCATATCATGAAGTGCATCTGAATGGGTGTCCTAGGAGTGCATTATTGGATCCTTGCCACAAAAGCAGCAGTGCATTCAGCTGCTCACTAAACCCCACCTGGAAGAGCAACGTGTACATGCAGATCCTGCACTTTTCTGTTCCAGGACAAATGCAGTGGCTGCTCATTCCCCCAGTCTCTTTGTGCCTCATTAAAAGCAGTATATTCAAGACTGGAATATGCTCAAATGCACAACAGGAGGAACTCTAGATCTTAAATTGTTATGTTCTGATGAGAAATTAGGAGTGTCTGTCCCTACTTTACAGTAGTAGTTGTCCCAGCAAATAGTTGCTCCTACTTTAGTGATAATGCCTAACACAGAACATTTCAAACTCCTGCTCTTTCTGTGGTAGCAGATCATTATGACCCCCTTTTCCTCTCCAGCCTGTAAACTCCCGAGTGGAAGGAAGGGCAAATAGCAAAGCCATACTTTGCTGTGCTAGGCTTCCACTGGCATAAACTCCAGGAAGGACCCTGAGCCAAGGCAGAATGTTGGCACAGGAGACAACCTAGTTCCACTTCCTGGAGGATGTTTGAATGACCACTGTCCATGCCATAGGCAGACTTCTAGACATTTCTATCACTTATTCTCTAGGACTGTCAATGTGGCAGTTTCCAAGAGTAATAAGCTCCCATAAATAACAAAGGAAAAAGGGGGGGGAAATGTAATCAACTAGGTCCTTTTATGTTTCTTCTCGCTCTTGTTCTTTATGGATTCTTTAATGCAGGACTCAGTGCCCTTAATTATGTAATATACAATAGTTGGCTTCAGCTTAATATTTGCATTATTGAATCCAAAAACTGGCATGAAAAAAAAAAAAGATGCATGTAACAAATGTACTGTTTTCAAAGCTAGGACAGCTTGATGAGAGAACCTCCTGGGAAAAATCAAATCTGGGATTGAAACAGATCTTTTTTCCCCAGCAACAGAAGGCATCAAAAATGAGCCTGATGAAAAGGACGACATTTCACTTGCTTTTCATTTTCTGATCTTTCCATCGCCCAGAGCATTAATCAGACGATCAGTCTCTAATTAGAGCAGAGCACTGTCAGTCAGGAAAGGGCCCTACTCACTGAATGTTGTTAGCAAAATAAAGGGGATTCTCTGCCTGGTGGTAATAGCATGGACCTATGTCAGGAGGTGGGCTGGTGCAGGGGGCACTAGCGACAGTACTATTTTCAGGAGCTGACCATTTTTCAAAAGCCTTTGGTAACGTTAATTGAAACAGCTTCTTGGTCAGCTTCTGTTATCCACATTGGAATGTTGTTTCTTGTAATGTTGATATTTCCCACAGCTTTTCTGGGCATTTTTTGAAGCCCTATTTTTGGCCCCTCACAATTTCCCTTCTATGCCTCGTAGAAAGCAGTGGTTACTTACAGCATAGCTGGGAAGCTGATGATTGACAGCTTTCAGCAGCAGCAGAGGCACTGACCCTTTACTGCAGCACTGGCAACTGGCCCTCAGGACCTTAACATGTCACATCTCTGATGCTAGCTCCTCCAGGGAGCATGAAGCACGAGCTCAGCCTACAACTGGTTGACCTTCTGGTCTCTACTGCTGTGCACTAAGTTATCAGGCAGTGCATGTGCCTCCTTGAAGGAAAGATGAGAATGCAGCTTTTATATATTTAATTATTTATTTTTCTGTGTCACACTCCTTGTATATGCGCTTTGTCAGCGGTGTATGGTTCCTACTCTGTATGGAGCACTATCACACTTTAGGCTGCCTGTATGTAGATCAAATCTGGACTGTTTTTGCATAGTCATGTTTTTGATTCAGGGTAGCAAAGTGGATGGTTTAGCAGGGCCTGTAGACTATGCAGTTTAGTGTCTGAGCTCTAATTACAAGGGTCAGATTTCTCAGAATATTCATGGGCAAAATTAAATGTTAAAAAATGCATGCAGCATAACCACCCTGGAATACAACCATGGAACTGGCATGCACAGCCATGCACCTAAAACTCTGTGCATGTGGGTTTTGTGCACTCCCATGGCCCTGATTGACCCCTGATGTCTACCCGCTCACCCTCACCCTTGTCCTTGGGCTGACTGCTGTACTGAGCCAGATCCTCACCTGCCCTGAGTCACTGAGGTCTGGAGAGTTATGCTGGTTCAAGGCAGCTGAGAATTTTATCCCTATTCTGTTTAACCATGTTTCCCAATCTACAAAACCAGCTTCACGAGGAAGGGGAGACCTGGGCCCATCCAGAGTAGATGCAAGGCAGCGTGTGGAAAAAGAGAAGACAATTCATTTTCTCTCTTGGTTTTGCTCATGTTAGGAGAAATGAGGCCCTGGGATTGACTACCTAGGGCTGTATGCTAAATAATCAAGAGAGTTTCGTGTTGGTAGAAATGAGGTGGCTGCCTCCGCCCAAATGCACATTCCATTAAGCCGAGTCCTCCAGATGAATTTTGTCGGGTGAGGCCCAAGTGCCTTGGCTGTGCTTGGAGAAGGAATAGGCATGGGGGCCGTCCGGGGAAAGCATGCCCTACAGCAGATGTAATGAAAACTGGTCAATTCTACATTAATATAAAACTATCTGTCGGATGTTCCCAAACATGCAAACAAAGCCTCGGACTGCATCTATTTATAGCCCAGATACTGTATATTTAAATTGTTTTCACAGGATACAAGATGTGATAAAAACCCTATTATTTTTTTTTATCTCATTTTTACATCCCTCACAGGAACTACGCAGTTTGGGCTCAGTTAATCAAGTAGAAGTGTTTACAGAGTCCTCTGCATGTCCTCAGGCCTTCGATGCTACCACAGGAGTAAAACAGTCACACAAAACTCGCCTGCTATTTTTAGCAAGCAGCCTTTTCCAGCCCTTCCCCTTCCCTTGTAAGGAAAAATAGCAGCCCCAAAGCGGGAGGAATCCTGTCTCCCTGCATCACCTTGTGTTGCATAAAGGCCAGGGGTTTCTAGAGCCCCCGTGCTCTCGAGAGGCTCTTTGTCCAAAGGTCCAGCGATACCTGTACGGACCCAACAAAGTGCAATTCATGGCCTCTAGGAAGAGCAGGGTCAGACCAGGAGATGAGCCAGCCTAATTCCTGACTCTTCATGGGGGCTCTTTGGTGAGGTGCCAGGAAATGTGTGGCCAGCCCTGCCTCTTGCTATGTGCGACTGCGAAGAGCTCAGCTATCTCTAATGAGGTTCTTGACTCACAATTGACAGCTAGATACTAGCTACAAACCTACCAGCCCCCCTCACTAAAGCTATTTGAGAGTTTCTGTGCTGCAGTTGCTATGGCAGTGGAGACTGCAAACGCATTAACTGTGACTCAATAAAGTTTCCTTTGTCGCCGGTCCCATAGGTTTGTGTAGAATAAATGAGAGTTTAATTACAGATTCACCTCAGCAGGAGTCTCAGAAACCCAGCCCTAGAAATTGGGACTGAAGGGTGACTTCATTCACATGCACATACAGACCCAGGAAGGGCCTGTTTTCTGGATCTGGTTTCAATGCAGAGGAGATACAGCAGAAGGGCTGCTCCCTTAAAATTTCTCCTGTCTCCGGCCAAACCTTTGCCAGCTGTTCACCGAGGTTTCAAAATCATCTTATCCTTAACTTATGCCTATTTCAGCCTCAAAGCCAGGACCTAATCTGGATTCAGATCCAAAAACCTGTCTTTTCTCATTTTAACTATGGTTCCCAAATTTGGTCCCCTACCTTGAGCCAGAAACTGTCAGATTCTGTCTGTGAGTCTTCAGTGTTAGATGCATGCAGTGCTCACAGAGTATGACATACACATGGTGCAGGTGGTGGAGAATTTGCCCGGTTTAATAAATAGATTTTAATTAACTTTCAAAAAAACCAAAACCCCAACTCGTCCCAATTAGTGAAGGGTGATGCATTTGTTCTCTCTGAGAGTGGGAGACGAGCTGTGTTTGCAGGACCATCTGCTCATGAATCCTTAAAAAATGTGGGAGAGGAAAACAAGCTTTAGCCCGAGGCAGAGGAAGGGGTGAGGGCACTCTGGCAGCCTGTGGTGGGGGCGTTACCAGCCTGTGGGGACAGACTCTGTCAGCATGAACTGAGGTGGTCCTGACAGCCTGCTGGAGATGAGAGAGTGCAAATAGCCCGTAGGACAAGGGCCTCTGCGTGCTGGGAGAGGTGGGATAGGCAATCTATAGGGATGTTTTGTCAGCCTCAAGAGGCACCGAATTGACAGCCTGCTGCGTAATACTTTGATGCCTGGGAAGGTGGGGGGGCACCGTAAAACTCAGGGAAGGTCTTTTGACAGTCAGATGTGATGACTGAGGGATGTGGCAGGGAACATGCTCTGGTGCTCTGAGTGTGGGGCTCTGCGAGGCCACCCAGGGCATTGCTTTGATGATCGGCATGTGAAGAACTCTAAAATCCTGAAAAAGAGAGAGGCCTGCCCCTTGCTGCCCTGCTTGTTGAGCCTGAAGTCCAGGTTTCTCCTGAGATTCTGTAGCCAAGGATCTGGACTGCTGAGCAGGTGGTGGCTCAGGCGACTTGCGGGTGAAGGTGGGGCACTGAGATCAGGAAGAGGAGACTTTTGTTGGAAGAGCAAAGGCAGCTCTGGCCACATCTAGGAGCACTGTGAGTGCTTGCAGCCTGTGAATGGAGCAAGGCTTGGGCCGGCTGGGAGGAAAGCCCCCAGTGGTGAGGAGTGAGGGGAGCCCTCTGGCAACCCGAGTGGAGGTTTTTGGCTGCCTCTTTTTCCACTTACAATTTGAATCAAATGATAGAAACAAAAACTCTGCTCTTGTTGTTTATTTTATTGCTTTTCCGGCCAGTTTTATTTCTTCCCTTCCGTCTTCTGCTTAAAAATAAGCAGAACCTCCTGTCATTCCTCCCCTTCCGCCTACCTGGCACACAACAAAGTCACCTCCCAATGCCCAAACTTGGCCTAGCGGCTTACCCTGCCTCCTTCTCTGTGCCCCACCAGGGAGATGACATCCTGGATCGGAGCTCCGAGTTGATTTACACAGGGGAGATGTCCTGGATTTACCAGCCGTATGGACGGAACCAGCAGCGCGTTTTCTTCCTCTTCGATCACCAGCTGGTTCTCTGCAAAAAGGTACTGAAACCCAGGGGGAAATCAGCACTGTGCAGGGCATGCCACAAACATAGGAAGGAGGAAGCACTTGGTATAGATTATAAGCAGAGAGATCATCCCAAACTCCTTTCTGGGGCTCACACAGACAGAGAGGGAAATGACAGATACTAAGAGCAGTGATGAAGGAGGGACAGAGGTGAAATTTAGAACAGGTAGAGATCATTCTTCGACACTGGTTACAACCAGAGGAGGAGTAAAAGGAAGAGGATGGCCACCTGCGTTGAGCTCTGTTGGACCACCCCAGTTTTAATAAGAGGAGCCTGCCTATTCACAGGTTGCAAAACCAAACCTCAAAGCCATGAAAGATGATGACTTGCTGACACTACATTAGAGCTTGAAGACATTTTGTCATAACCTGAAGATGATGGGCTATTATGGGGGGAGAACTTAACTGAATCATATAAAAAAAATGGGAGTTTTAAGTGGTAGAAATGCAGAGGAAGGTGAGTGGGAATAATAGTTCTAGTAAAGGACAAAAGGAAGCTGAAATACCAGAGAAGAATACTAATGGATGGGGCTATCCCAGTGAGCAGGAAACAGAAAAAGCAGAAATGGTGAATGTTACAGTGAGGAATGGATGGGGGCAATAAGGACAAGTCACCGTGAATGTGATAGATGGTGTTCTTCCCACTTAACAGATATTTCTGCTATGAGCCATTTTCTGAGACCTACAGCTGTGTTCTTGCAAATTCTGTAAATTTCTGAAATAAATGTAAAAATTCTGGCTGCGTCCTGCAGGCATTCCCCCAAGACCCGTGGCAAGCACTAAGCACCCACATGCACACACCAGAAGGTGACTGTCAAAACACTGAAAAAATCCTCATCATGGGATGGCTTGACAACCTGAGCTGAGATGCAATGAGTTGTTGTTCCACATTTAAGGATCTGGAGGAAGGGAGAAAGTGGCTCAAACCCTGCTGAGCTTTCCTCAACAGGAAGCTTCCTCCTCCATTTTAAGGCTCAGATTTCCCCAGCCTACCCACACACGTATATAATCAAGGTTGCATATCTACCTGGCCTTCTTTCCCCCACATACCATTGTATATTGTAGACACCAGGAAGGCAGACTGACTGTGGTTATGATACACTGGAAGGTTTCTAGATAGCAGTAAATCCAATGTCTTTTTGTTAGCTTGATGTTTTGTTGATTTTTCTTGCTTGTCTCTTATGTTGGCTCTTGTTCACATCCACTTTTATTTAACCTTCAGCTGTGGTGCATGATTTGGAAACAGGTAGCCCAAACATTTCTATATGAACTGTGGAACCTGGCATTTGAGCAGGCTATTTGATTACTGTAATAAAATGGTGCTTTCTGCCTCTAGAGCAGTAGTTTTTCAACCTGTGGTCTGTGGACCCCTGGGGATCCTCAAACTATGCCTAAGGGATCCGTGAAAATTACTATGAACAGTCAAAAGTACGTGAATACTCACACTTACAATTCAAAGGGGTCCACACCTCCATTCAAAATTTTTTAGGGGTCCACAAATGAACAAAGTTTGAAAACCACTGTTCTAGAGGTAACACCAGGCAAAGACCTATGATCTGCCAGCCAGTGCTTACTGCCTATAATTTACTGGAGTGTGCTCTAAACCTGATCCTCATGAAACCCACATCACAAGCTCCATAGTAACTTATAAAGTACATATCTGAACCGAGGTTCACCATTAAGCTAGGGGAAGGTAATAAAGAATACCAGTTGTGTAGTCTTCCTGAATTAGTATCTGCATATATACCAATAGGAAGAAGCAACTCTGTCAAACATCTCTGAAAAAGAGCCCTCTGCCCAACAGGTAGTTCTGTTGCTCTGCTTTTGCTAATGTGCTCTCAACTCATCATTATTAAGAAAGATTAAAGAAAGCATCAGCATTTGAAGTGACAGAGTTCATAAGGCCTGGGATATTTCTGTCTTCTGAAATATCTGTATTTGTTGCCATTTGTGCTGTAGACACACACACACACACACACACACACACGTGTGTGCGTGCGTGTATATAGCTATGCAGAGTCCGTTGGATCAGCTTCAAGCATGAATGAGAACAAACCACAGATGTCAGCATCCATACTCACCCAGCCTATTTCCTGTCAAATATCATATGCCAAGTGAGTGTTAAGTGGGTTCAGCACTTGCATGGCTGCCCTCCAAGGAATGTCCCAGTGCTGCAGGAAGTGTTGAGGGTGATGCAATGGGTGGTCCTTCAGTCCCTGTGAAATCACTGCCCCAGCAGTAAAGCAGTGGTCTGAGCAATTCAGTGGTTGGTACTTTCCTTCTGAGTCACAGCTGAATCGTCCTTCCTAGAGATTTTCTTTTCTGTCTCAGTGCTTCATTCCTCTGGCACTGTTTGAAAAAAAACACACATCCTATGGTCAGAGAAGGGACACGCTTGAGAGTGCATAAGGCACTTGGTTTAAATGTCAACCTTCAGGTCCTAAACTTCCCCTGTGGTATTCTGGATTTACAGTTTCATAAAGCAAAATTTAGTTAACATTGAGTCTCATCTGGGAAAGCACTGAGCTCCTCCTGCAGTCAGTCAAGTACCTCCAGCTCCCACAGAAACTTTCATGAGCCTTTAGGGTCCTTGGGATCTAAGCCATACAGTTCTTTGCAGTAGACACATCCCCTTGAAAAAAAATGGATCTTGTACATACAGAATGTCCATGCTCCTTTCATTCATCCATCCTGGCATTTGCTCTTGTTCATATATAATATATTAGCTCCCTCTCTCACTAAGGTTGGGAGGGTACTCTGCACCATGTATTTCTTACCCTCTCCACTTCCATCTTGTGAAACTACCCCTCAGGTCAGGATGGACAAAAAAATTAGAAGCCCTGCCTGTCTCTGCAGTAGCTATTGCCTTTGTGGTGTTAATCTGGCACCTTTACCAACACTAAAATCCAGGTTTTATTTTTAAATGTAGTATATTATTTTTCATTAAATGGGTCCTCCCTTCCTTGCAGCATTTCCTTGAGTATTACTAAGAAAGATTGCCTGAATAAAGGGATTTATAATAGAGTTAGCCTGAGTTTGGGGTTCACAAACACTATAGACTTAAATCAGTGATTTACAGCATGTGATGTCTTGACACAGGGTCAGACTCTGCTATTGTGAATGACAGAAGGCAGCTGATTAGTGAGCTAACCTCCACTTTAGACCGAGATGGCTACCCTCTGTTGGCTGAGGGACTGTATGCCTTTATGTAGCATTTTCCGAGACCATCACAGATCACTATTGTCTGCATGTAGTAACGGGGGGTAGGAGCTTCGTCCTTGGTCTCCAGGAAGATATGGACAAATTGAGATTACTGCAGCACTATCTCCACACCTGTGTTCAGGGAAAAAAAAAACAAAGGGCTCCCCAAGGTGCAGATTATATAGATCTCTTCTTCTACATCAAGGAAACGATGTGACCAGTGCAGAGACAGCTCTCAAAGAAACTCATCTGGGTTTGGCAAGAGATAATTTGCTTGTTGGCCCAGGACCACCAGAGTTTTAAATAAATGATGTGGTCACATTAGCTGTATCAATAGAGCTACTAATTCCTTCTTCCAGTAAAGCCCATAGGATCAAAACTCTGACCCCTGGTACATTTCCATTGAGCTACTGCAGAGAGTGATAGAGGCCAGGGCTGAGGAACATTGGCAGAGATCTTAGAGCAGGAACAGAACGTGGAATAACTGTAACCGAGGTTCAGTAGTAGAGAGAGGCTCAGTTCTTTGTAAGACCAGGTGGCTTTGGACTATTGGATTAACTCCTCATTTTTCTGATGAACTTTTATGCTGATATAACCTATACCAGTGCATTTTTACTGCTGTATTTTCTCAGGATAATCCTACACTCTAGTAAAGCATACTGATGTACAGCTATTTGCCATGTGTCCGCATCTTTTTTACACCAATGTGTAAAGGGACATAAATGTGTTGTATGTCCAGATCCTGTGGTAGAAGTGATAGAAGTTATGCTTAAACAGGATGTAGGTTTTGTAGAGGGATACTGGGTCAGTTTTCTTAAACTATGCAGTAGACAAGCACTGGCCTCTGCCCAATTTACCATATGTCTGTGACGGGAAGATGACTTCCCCAATATATTCCAGTAAAGTAACCTTAAGTACCAAGAAATAAAGTCGATCCTAACTGATGTCAGCATTAAAAGACGTTGCCTTAAAGGCACAGGATCTCCTTTCCTCTCCTCCCTGAAGTTGCGAGAGTTTGACACGGAGATACTTTAAATTTGCAAATCATACTGCTTACCATCCAGCATTTCGACATTGGTCATTAATTATGATCTTAGCTTGTTATGTCGTGGGGTGCTTGTGATGCATATCATGTAACAGATAGCAGATCTGGAATTTTTCCTCCTCTTGCTTATATCTTTGATTGCCCAGATGGGCATAGACATATCATATCATCAATTGGAAGTGATATTAGACTGTGAAAAGGGTTAAAAATGTTTCTGTATTAAATTAGGACTTTCTTTTGCCAAATGATTGAACAACTCTTGCTGGAGCTCTCTGTTAAGTACTTCTTGACAGAGTGGCCACATGAAATGTATTTAGATTTTATTTGCACTTGTAGGGCGCATCCAGATGTGTGTGGATGTGCAGTATGCAGCACCGCAGACCCATCTGTAGCACCGCATGCTGCACACACCACATATGGAGGTGTTTCCCACACCGCTGCTTTGCAGCCAAGAGGTTTTTTTGACCTGGGGAGATCCCACACCTTAAAAAAACAGGGCAGTGCACATGGTGGCAGTGTGTACCACCCAAAACCAGGGACTGGCTGGCCACACCCCCACTCCAGCTACCAGCAGGCTCTCTGCTGCAGGAGCACCATGGCCGCAGTTCCCAGAGGTCCCTTGGATCCCAGGTAAGGCTGCTGGGGCCAGTACAGTTGCTGGCCCCAGCCTCCCCTACCCCACCTAGGGCAACAAGCTGCATGCCAGGGCGTGCGTGTCACGGGCATTCC